GTGTAGATTATTAATTTTAGGTATATAAGGTACATTTATCAATGTTTTTTTCCCACTATATTTTAATTTTGTAAGAAAATATTGTAAAAACACCAACCCATTTGGAGAAAAATTGAGAGATATGTGAAGAATTTTCTTTAAAAAAGATTAATATAATTTTAGGATACTGTAATCAGCATTTTTCTATATTTTTAGTATATTAAACCAATGACTCCTGTGTTTATTCTGCATTATTCTTTTAATTTACATCAGTACAGTGTAGTCTTTTGAATATTTACAAATCAATAACAACTAATGTTAAATTGTTATGAAAACCTAAAAATTATACCTTAATTATTTCAAATCAAATATTTAAATTATTGTAATCTTTTTTAAGAAAATACTTCTCATATTTCTGAATTGGTCTCCAAATAGGATGGTGTTTTTACATTATTCTCTTAATAAATTATTATACAGAGGGAAAACAACATTGATAAACAGAACTCGCACAACTGAAATTAATAATCTAAACATTTATGTATGTTTTGGATGATATTTTTATAATTTCATAATCTCTTATTGTGGTCGATGTGTATGAATTTATAGGTCATAATAATATATCAGCAATTTACTATGTTTTTAGTATTGATTTCTGATAACACCTAGAATACCTAGAATAAATTTAGACTTAAGCCTTATAGGTAAATAAATATTACATAGTAATACACAAATATCTAAATATAATAAGGCAATTATACAGTATAATCATATTATTGCAAGTAAATGTAATAATTACAGCTAATAATTATTAACTCTTATTGTTTAACTGTTTTATAAGTATTATGTATATAAAAAGTCATTTATTTATTTAATCTTCAATAGAGATCATAGATCCAGTTATATACATATAATTGGTTCTAACATATTTATAAGTTCATATTAAACGAGATTTCTTTTTAAGGATTCTTTTGATGCAGTACATCCTCCATTTGTAATAAGTACTGATATTGTTCTATGTTTACAAATCACCTTACTCTTTTAAATAATTCAATATACATGACAAAGGAAATTAATATCAAATTTTTTTGTTGTGAAAATTACACTTATGGGTATTTTTTGTTCATTCTAAGATATTATTTGTAACTATATCAGTACAATGTTTTTTTTTTTAATATTCACAATTCAATAACGCCCAATTTCAATTTTAAATGAAAATCTTAAAATAATACCTTAATTATTTCCAATTAATTTCAAATTATAAATAATTGTAAATATAATAAATACAATTTTCTAGAATCCTATCAATATTTTAAAAAATATTACTCATAATTCTGAGATGGTTTATAAATGTGTTGGTGGCTTTAGAATATTTTCATACATATATATTATATATATTTAGAGAGAAAAGCATTGATAAATATACCTTATTTACCTAAAACTAATGGTCTACACAGTTAAATTTGTTTTGAATGATAATTATTGATAACTTTCATAAAATCATTGATCTTATACATAATTTAAAAGAAATATTTTTGGAGCCTGAGTCTATTGTTAAATAATGATAGAGAAATAAAAATTACAAAGATTACACAAGTATTTAAATATAATAGGGCATTTTTACAGTATAATCATGTTATTGGTTGTATGTGGAAAACTACTAGCTAATAATTAATAACAAATATTATTTTACTGTTATATAATTATTGTCTATCTAAATAATAATTTATTCAATTAATTTTAAATGAAGATTATAGATACCATCTTATATGTATTACTAAGAAATGTATGGGTTAAATTATTTTTATATGTTAATATTTTATTATTAAACAAAAGTCCTTCATAAGTAATATATAAAATATATATAAATATATTATAAATTATATAAATATATATATATTTTCTTATAATGAAATTTGATATTAAATTTTTTTTTCAAGTAAATGTGATTACTAAAACGTTTAGGTTGATTAATAATTGTATAAAAATGTCGATACTTCTCACAAATGCAAGAAATATTATATCAACATAATCCTTAATTAGAAATCTTGTTAAATATTTTAAAATGCATATTATAATTGATCATAGATTTTATCTTGTATGTATTACTAAGGAAATAATGGGTTATATTAATTTTTGTGAATACGCAATTCTGGATACTTAGTCTATAGTTAAATACTGTTAGGAAAATAAACATTACATATTGTTCCATTATTAGGAAAGATAAATATTTTGTGTTCATACCTTGAGTACAATGTTTTAGAATTTTACAATTTACGTGTCAAAAAAAATTAATATCAAATTTTTTTGCTGTGGAAATTATCCTGATAGGTATCTTTTGATCATTCGACAATATTTTTTTAAATTTACATCTGTACAGTGTCTTTTTTTTAATATTTACAATTTATTATGAAAATCTCAAAATTATTCCTTACTTATTTCAATTTAATTAGTTAAATTATTTTAAAACCAATCAACACAGTGCCCTAAATTTGTATAATCATAATTTATGAAAATTGGATTTATAAATATCAAATTGTCTCTAAATAAATTAATGTTTTTAGATTATTTTCTTATGTAAAGATTATGTATTAATTGAATAATATTGACAATTATACCTTAATAATCAACACAGTTATATTTGTTTTGCATGTTTATGCTCTCATAATTTCTTATTGTGTTAATGTCTATAAATGTATGTTTTATATCAGTTTATTAGCATTTTACTATACATTAAGTATCTATAACTAATGAAACCTGTTATATGTTTTTCAGGATGTATTCAAACTCAATAATTAAAGAAATTAAGACAATCACCATAAATTCATTGATCCACTACATGATTTCAATAAATAAATATTTCTGGACTCGCAAATTATAGTTTAATACTAATAGGTAATTAAATATCACATAGTTGTTCATNAATTTAAATCCGCAAAAAAACCATTAGATAGGTGAATTTTCTGTTTACCATTATATCTTTTTCAAACATTTTATAAGCTGTTTTTTGATACAGTTAAGCGCTTTTTTGTAAATTTTAAATGTTTATAAATACGTTTCCTAATAATGATGAATACGGTATATTTTAAAATAATATCTCGCGTATCTTGTTAGTCATTATTGAGCCGGGGCGAGGTGAGTCCTATTTGTAGGAAAACGTTGAACGATTTGGGAATTCGGTACGGGATGATGACCCTGGCCAAGAATAAACCGATTAGTACGACGTTTGAAGACTTGAAGACATTATTGATAAAAGCGTATCAAGGAGAGGACAAATTGATGTATACTCTACATCTTCGCTTGTAACGAGAATTCTTGAAACATGTGCTTAGATGTATTATACTGTTTGAGTGAACTACACCGCCAATCTGATCTAAAATTGAAGTACCAATTTGAAATCGAATTAAGGTGCAAAAAATTAGTTGTTTAGTATTTTTTTTTTCAGTTTTTGTAGTGTTTTTCTACTATGATTTTATCGGATTTATAGTTTAAACAAAATAATGTTATAAATCGAAAAAAAATTGACTGTGGAGATGGTCGTAATTCGTAAATCACGATAAAAATAAATAGCCTATTAAGTAGATTTACATGCATACGCAATCGTAGTGCCTTAAAAAATAATGTCAAAATACTACCAAAAAATGCTGTAAACCGTGATGGTGTGTAATCATGGCATTTATTTGCTGGGAGGGGGGGGGAGACGAAGAATAATAAAATAAAAGATAAATGTTTTTAATCTGAAATTGACACCGTCAGGTTTTGCCGCTTCAGCTCCATTGTATTACATTATTCTTTAATTTTTGTAAATAGGGAAAATAAAAATAAAAATAATAAAAAATTAGCACGGGCAACACCGGGCTGCAGGTATTTAAAAGTGTAAATAACTGTAACAATAATAATAATTTTGTCTTGGTTCTCAGCTTTTCCGTTTGAATTATTTCCGCTTACAATTCGAATAAAATACCATGCGGTCCACGACACTATGCAAACCAGTACAATAATTCATTATTTCAACGGTATCGCGTAAGTTGGTATCGGTGAAAAATTGTCAAATTAATTTACCTCGTCCCGCGCCCGGCCATTCGCGCGCCGCGACGCAACTTTACTACTCTATGGACGCAACGCGAGTGGGCGACGACATTTCGATCGCCGCCGGGCGCTCGTCATTTCTATCGGCGGCCGTCAGACCGTCGACATCTGCTTTCGCGCTCGTCCCGCAGTTCCGTTTTCCACATGGTTTGGTACGCCGTTGCGGTTTTCGTTTTTCCGTGTCTACGCGTCGTATGACGTTCAGTAGTACGCTGATTCGAGAGATTGAATAATATTCCGTCGGTTTGTATTTGTCTTTGTGTATCGCGAGGTACGCAAGCGCTTCGTCCTCGTACCTTGGAGCGACTGCGTGCGTGGTGTTTTTCGCGCGTTTGTCTCCGACCGTTCGCGGCCCCGGCTATGCCTGCGTGAATTTTTTCGA